GCTTGATATTTTAAAGTGGTACAGATTGGCAGTAGGAATTTGCAGACCACATGATTGGGAAGGGGCAAAGGTAGACTATGGTCCTACGGGAGAGTGCTATTGAATCTCAATGAAACTCTAGACAGATGGGTACCAGGACTGGGAGGAACTGCCAGGGCATCAAGGCTAGAGGAATAATTCTGATGGACAAAACAGAGGGAAATGACTGCTATCCACAGCAATACACCATGGCAGAGCTTGTACAGGGCACCCATGAGGGAAAGACAGAGTCCCCCACTTTTGCCACAGGAAAGCCGAACTTCACTGCTTAGGTCAGCTTCTGCAATCAATTAAAATGAACTTATGCATGAGTATTGAATTCCAGAGATCAAACCTCAACAACTTCTGAATCAGTCCTGAAACCTAGGGATAAGAGTACCCTCTAGTGGTTCTTAGGAGAAAATACCACGCCCTCTGGTTGTGTAGTGCCTAAGACATTTGACTGCTAGCCAGAAGGCTGGTAGTTCAAACCCATCAGCCACTCCTCAGAAGGAAATTTGGGCAGTCTGCTTCCGTAGTGATACTGCCTCAAGAACCCAAGGAGGGGTTGCTATGAGTTGGATTGGATTCTATTGCAGTGAGTTTGTGGTTTTTGTTTGTTTGTTTTTTTAACTGCTGTTGTATTGAATCTGGTTCACAGCAACCCTGAGGGAGTAGGAGGAGCTGTAAGTCTCTGTGGAAACAGACAGAACCATCTTTCTCCCACAGAATGGGTGGTGCGTGCAGGCTGCTGGCCTTTCAGGTGGCAACCAGGTGCTTTTGGCTGCTGCTTCACCAGGTTGCCCAAACAGAAAAATTGCCTACGAAAATCAGAATACAGAATTTAAAGTAAGGGGAAAAAAAGAAAAAAAGAGGATAACAAAATGGGCTGAGTTCAACAACAATAAAACACAAAATCACAAGAGAAAAAGGACTAATAAAAATCAAAATATGAAGAAGAGAAAATGTCTCCTATGGAGACCAGACTAATAGAAATTGAACACATGGCAGGAAAAAAAAAAACTTCTGAAAATGAAGAAAAAAGAAACTAAAGTAAAAATACAAGAAAAATACTCAACAATACGATAAAACAAATAGAAGATAGAATAAATTATGTAGAAGACAAAATAACTGAACTTCTCAAGTCTCAAACGAAACAAGAGAAAAGAACAAAGAAAAAGGAACAAATCCAAACAGAAATATCATATTCAATTAAGAAAATCTAGCATTAGAATTACTGGAATCCCAGAGCACCATGCCAGTAGTAAAGGCATGGAAAGAATTTCTAAGAGACAATCAGAATTTTCCAGACCTGAACAGAGACCCAAGCCTACAAATACATGAAGCTGATCCCCAATCAGATAAAATAAAAAAGATTAACTCCATGATATATCCTAATAAAATTCTTGAAAACCAAAGTAAGGAGAGAATTCTGAAAACAGCAAGAGAAAAATACGACATAATGTAACAAGAGTCTTTCATAAGTATCAGAGTGGATTTCACCCCAGAAACTCTAGAGTCCTGAAAAAAATGGAACTTCATAAATAAAACACTGAAAGGAAACAATTGCCAAATAAGAAACAAGATATTTTCAGGACATAGAATCACTAATTAAATCTCACAAATAAGATTTCAAGTCTGTAAGAAATAAGTACAAAGTAAACTTATTGACTACAGATTGTATATTGATGTTAGTGGAGACACACCAACAGAAAATGGGAGAGAGAGAAGCATATCACAAATGAATTTGTTAAAGTCTGTATGTTAACTCTTGTTCATATATTGAGTATCAATGCAAATGTTAAGTTGTATAATATAATATATGTGGTAACTGCTAAGAAATGACTAAGAACAAATAATCATAAGAGAAGAAGAAAGAAAGCAAAAAGGATGATCATAAGAAAGCAGCCAGATGCTAACAAAAAACAGAGAAATTAGAAAAAAAAAAAGAATGTACAAAACACGCAAAAAACAAATAGCAAAATGGATGAGGTAGCAACTTAGTTTTTAGTAATAATTTTAAATGTAAATTGTCAAAACATGTCATGGAAAAGGTAGAGAGTGGGAGAATGAATTTTAAAAAAGAAAAAAGATCCATCTTTGTCTATAAGAAGCACACGTTAGATATAGGGACACAAGCAGACTGAATATATAAGTATACAGAAAAATATTTGATGCAATCAGTCAACAAAAAAAGAGGGATGCCATATTGATGTCCGATAGAATAGACATTAAATCAAAATCTATTGCAAGAGATAAAGAAGGGCATTACATAATAATAAAAGAGTCAACCCAGCAAGAAGACATAACAATTATAAATATATCTGCCCATAACAACAATGCTCCAAAATATATGAGATAAGACTGACTAATAGAGAACAGAAACCTTTGCAATAAGAGTATGGGACTTCAGCACACCACTTTTAATTATAGACAGAACCTCTAAAATGAAGATCATTAAGGACATGCAGAATTTAAATAAAACCATAACTCAATTGAATCTAATGGGTATACACAGAACACTCCAGTCAGCATCACCATAATATTCGTTCTTCTCTAACACAAATAGATCATTTTCCAGAACAGAGGATATGTCAGGATACAAAACAAGTGTCAACAAATTTAAAAAGATTGAAATCATACAAAGCATCTTCTCTGACCGTAGTGTATGAAGCTAGAAATCAGCAACAGGAAAAATAATAAGGGTGGAAATACACATAAAATCTAACTAATCCACTATTAAAAACCTATTGGGTCATAGAAAAAATCAAAAGTAAAATTCAAAAATTCCTAGAATCAAATGAAAATGAAAACACAACATATTGAAACCTTTGGAACACAGAAAAAGCAGTATTCAGAGAGAAATTCTAGTAGTAAATACTTATATTTACTACTTCATTCTTATAAATGAAGAATCCAAAATCATTAACTTAAACCAACAACTTAAACAAATAGAAAAGGAAGAGCAAAAGAAGCCAAAAGCTACAATGAAAAAAGGCAATAATAAAGAACACCAAAAAATGAAATAACAAAAAACAGGAGCTCTGGTGGTGGTGTGCCTAAGGTGTTTGACAGCTAACCAGAGAGCTGGTGGTTCAGACCTACCAGCCACTCCTTGGAAGGAAGATGGGGCAATCTACTTCTGTAGAGATACTGCTTCAGAAACCCAAGGAGGGGTCACTATGTGTCGAATCGATTTGATGGCAGTGAATTTGGTTTTATTTGTTTAACAAAGAACGAAATGAAAAGAAACAAAGTCGAAAACAGAAAAACAATAGAAAGAGTCAAAAAAACCTGAACTTGGTTCTTTGAAAGGATCAATGAAAGACAAATCACTTGCTAGATTGACAAAATAAAAAATCCAGAAGAATCAAATAACCTAATTAAGAAATGAAACTGTTGACATTATAACCAATCCAACAGAGATAAAGATCATAACTGACTGCTATGAAAAATTGTACTCCAACAAATTTGAAAATCTAGATAAAATGAACAAATTCCTAAAAACATACTACCTATTCATACTAAGACAAACAAGTAGAAAATTAAAAGAGACTCATTACAAAAGAAGAGACAGATAATAGCATTAAAAAAAAAAAAAATTCAAATCTGTGCATGGCCATCTAAGATACATCTACTGAATCTTCTCACCAGGAGGAAAACAGGAAGAAGTTAACCAAAAGCTCATAGAGGAAACAAGCCTATATGAGCCATGACCTCATTTACCCTGAGACCAGAAGAAATAGATGGTGCCTGGCTACCACTATGACCATTCTGACCAGGGACACAATAGTTGTTTCTGTACAGAATTAAAGAAAATTGTGGAGCAGAACTCAAATACTTCAAAGAAAATAAAAAAAGCCAGAAAACTGAAACAGTAGCAAACAGAAGACTTCCTGAGACTATCACCCTGTGATAGGTTCTGAGACACTATTTAAACCTAGAATAAAGACTATCCCCTGAGATTATCTTTTAGTGAAGTAGCATAGTGACACAGAAATAAAGGCTATTACCTGTAAAATTGGTGCACTACTTACAAAATAACTTTTTGAGATCAAAAGATCAATAATTACTCAAAAACAAAGATGAAAGGAGAAGGAGACAGGATAACTAGAGTACTGGAAATAGAATAAACAGAACACAAAAATAATGTTGACACATTGTGATAAATATAACTAAGGTCACTGAACAGTTTGTGTGAAAATTGTCCAATGAGATCCAATTTGTGTGAACTTTCACCTAAAACTCAATAAGTTATTTAAAAAAAAAAAAAAAGAAAGAAAGAAAGAAAAAAAAGATTTGAAGTGAAAATTACAGGGGTAGTTAAAAAAATTAAGCATTTTAAGGGCAATGAAACTATTTTGTATGCTGTGATGGTGAATACATGACATCATGCACTTGTAATTGAAAACACTGACTTGATTTCTCTTTATGTCTTTTTATTCTTTATTTTATATGTAAAAATATACTGAATCAATATAAACTGTGGGCTTTAGGCAACAATAATGTGTTAATAGTGGTTCATCAATTGTAACAAATGAGCCACATTTATTGCAATATGTTAGTAATAGGAGAAACCATGTGTAGGGGTTAGTAACAGGAGAGTATATGGGTACTAAGGAGCTCTGGTGGTGTAATGATTAAGGCATTTGGATGCTAACCAAGAGGTTAGTAGTTCGAACCCACCACCTACTCCACAGAAGAAGGGCGAGGCAATCTGCTTCTGTAAAGTCTGACAGCCTTGGAAACCCAACGAAGGTTGCTATGAGTTGCAATTGACTCAATGGTAGTGAATTTGGCTTGGTTTTTATATGAGTACTCTCTGTACTTTCTGTGTGATTTTTTGTAAACCTAAAATTCTGTAAAAAATGAAGATTATTAAATCAATCACTAACTTAATAGTATGCATTCTATAAAATAACTAAAAAGAGTATTCAAATTTAAAGAAAAAATTGACAATGTACTGTTTTTTGTTTCCCCAGTGGGAGAGATGTCTGAGATTTGCCCAGAAGCCACTGACTTTTTGTGCAACAACAAGAAGTGTATTGCATCCCACCTTGTTTGTGACTACAAACCAGACTGCTCTGACAAGTCTGATGAAACTCACTGTAGTAAGTATATCTTTCTGATGTAGTATACCAAGTTAAGCATAGATTTTAACTTTATTAGTAGAGAAATATTAGCGTTGATGGAGTGACATTACCAAGAAGTTTTGCTTTCATGCACTACAGTAGATTTCAAATAGCCAAAACATTTTCACAGCTTTTCTGTACAAATATCTACATATCAGTTCTCTTACCTTTTGTCATTTTTATTTGGCTGTTGTAGCCATGCTCTTTTAACTTCCACAAAATGATTGGCTGAGACTATGAAAATTGAGTAGCCTCTGGTCTACCAAAGGAGATTGGGCTGTTTACTATGCAAATTTAGTGACTTAAGGTCTACTCTTGGGATTGGCCAGTTCATGGTCATCATAGGATGGCCATGCCTTGAAATTGACAAGGGATTTCCTTATCTAAGGGCCCATCCCACAGAGGTTGAGAGAGACCTTACTCCATCAAGAAGAGTTAGGAGCAAAGCTTATCCTTTGGACCAGGGACCTAGGGTCCCTGCGCTGAGAACCTCATAGATCCAGAAGAAAGAGTGAATGCTACGACAGTGAGAAACTCAACTTACAGACCAAGAGCTGAGTGCCTTTGTGCAGGAATCTTGCTGACAAAGCTAAAAAAAAAAAAAAAGCTGTAATAGTTGCCCATGCAGGGCAGATTAAGTGTGCTTGTGTGGGGGATGCCTCAGAGGATCTTGTGTGGGTCTCTTCTGACAACAGAGTGAAGCTGGATACCTCTGGGTAGGAGGCTTGCCAGCAGAGCCAAAAGAGTTGTAGTACTTGCTTGTGTGTGGTAATAGATGCCTGAGCAGGACCTGTGCAGAAGTTGCCCATCTCTCCTCTGGTCAGCAGAGGCCTAGTAACATGGCAGCAAGAGAGCTCTGCAGGCCCTGGTAGCATTGGGAGCCAGAAGTAGAGGCTTAGAAGGACCCAGGGGCAGAGGCTTAGGAGATTCTGTGCAGGGGGACTCTTCTTGCTGGAGAAGCAAGGCTTCGTAAGACCCAGTGGCAGAGCACATGCTCAGCTAGCATGGTAGTAGCCAGAAGCAGTGGTAACATGAACTCAGTGTCTGACCTGAACCACAGTGTGCCTGCCTAGGGACGTAAGAATGAACATGGGGAATTTGGGGAAAGGTAAAGGTTTAACCTTGGAGAATAGGTTGCTATTGTTTAATGTTTGCTTTCTATAAATAACAATAATGGCCTTCATTTTGCCAACACTGTGTAAGCCCTCATGTATCCGGCTCAATCACAGATGACCATAAGCACCGATAGAATGGTTGATGCCAGTGGGTGTATGTGTCACATTCCTAGCAGTCTAATAGCTGCATGGTAGTTTGAAGCACAGCCTGTTTACGTATGTAGTGCAGATGAACAGACATATGCACACAGTACTGCAAAGTGTAATATATCTGTAGCAAAGCACAATAGCAAAATTGTTCATCCTGTAATTGTTCAGAACTGCACATCAGTTAAAGAAGTTTTAAGAAAATTCGAAAAAAAAATTAAATAAAAATACAACTTACTGAAATGTGTGAGATGCAACAAAATCAACATATAGTGACATTTATAGTATCGAATGCATCCATTAGAAAAGATGAAAGATCTAAAGTCAATAATCTAAGCTTTCACCTTAGAAAAATGGAGAAATGTACCAGTGTGAAATTTAAAAACAGAAGCAAATACTTGAATTGAGGAATTTTCTTTTTCATATGTCTTACTGATGAGCATTCATAGAGAATCATGACACTATACTGGCGACCTATTGCAGTTATTGTTTGCTATATACAAACTGCATCAAAAGTTTGTGACCTAAAACAACAATTTAATGTCTCTGTCTGCTAATTTTAACAAGTGTGGCAATTCTCAGTTGTTTTTCGTAAGGTAGGTTGTTTTCTTTTGCTCCTCATAATGGGTGTTGTTTTCCTGCTTTTCCATATGCCTGGTGATTTTCTTTTTTTTTTTTTTTTAACTGTATTCCAGGCAATGTGTATTTTACCTAGTTCAGTTCTGAATCTTTTTATATTTCCTAAAATAATTTTTAACTTTATGCTGGGATATAGGTAAGTTATTTGAAAACAGCTTGATCCTTTTCTGTCTTTCTTTTATATAGGATTAGGGCCTTGCTCAGTCAAGAACTAGTTATTTTCTATTGAGGCAAAACCTTTCTGTATACCGAACTGTTCTGTGGATCATGAGATTTTTCCAGTCTTGATGGTGAGAAGAGGCATCCAAGGGGGTCATCTACAGATCTCCATTTTGCTTTGTATGCACAGCCCTCTCCTCTCCAGTGCTCTGTCCTGTGAATTCTCACTGCCTTAGACTCCATGGATATCACCTCCATCTCCTTACCTCAGGAGTTACGGTGGGGTCTGCTTGCCTTCATCTTTCCTGTGCCATGGCCTTGAATTTCCTTAAGGCAGTAAGCTTGGGTAATTATAAACCCACTGCCATGGAGTTGGATCCATCTCATAGCGACCCCTGCTTGGGTTTCCGAGGCACTATCACTACGGAAGTAGATTGCTCAACCTTCCTTCCAAGGAGTGGCTGGTGGGTTTGAACATTTAGCCATCTGGTTAGCAGTCAAATGCCTTAGGCACTATACCACCAGAGGGTAATCTCATTTGTTTGCTATTAACAGAGATGATGATTTGCTTTGCCTGTTGTACAATGTCTTGAGAACCAGTGTTCCATTATATTGTTTATCTTTTGCTTGTTTCAGGCTGGAAAATAAACCCAGTCTCTGCTACTTGATCTGGGTTGGCAATGAAAGTCTGGTAGTATATTATGAAGTTAAATAAATACTTTCTATATGATCCACCAACAGTACTATTTTTGGACATTTGCCCAAGATAAATGAAAATAAGTATACACACCAAGACTTGTACTTGAATTTTCATAAAAGTATTATTCTTAAGAGCCAAAACATGTAAACAGCCCTGTTGTGTTGTTGTTGTTATGTGCCACCGAGTCGACCTTGACTCATAGAGACTCCTTCTTGGGTTTCTGAGGTGGTATTACCATGGAAGTAGATTGCCCAACCTTCCTTCTGAGGAGTGGCTGATGGGTTTGAACTGCCAGCCTTCTGGTTAGCAGTCATGTGCCTTAGGCACTATGCCACCAGAGCTCCTATAAACAGCCCTAGCATTCATCAACTAGTGGCTAGAAAACAATGTGTGGTATGTCTACACAAGAAATACTATCTAAAAATAATAAAAATAAACTCTTGAAATATAGATAAATCTCAAAAGCAAATTCAAAATGGAAAACTCAGGTTAAGAATTGCTCTTTGATTTATTTAGATACAGTGTTTAAAAAGTAAAATCTATGTTGCAAAAGGGCATATTACTGATAGTCTTTGGGTGATGGAGAGATGGATTGACTGCAGTGAGCCACGTGGGAGCTATTAGGACAAAGAGAAAAATTCTGTATATAAATTTTGAAAATAATTTCAGGGCTGTATATAATTTTCAAAATTCATCAAACAGTACATATACATATATTAATTTTTTCTATGTAAATTATGCTGCAAGATACTTAGGATTAAAAATCAACCTCTAGGACAAATATTGTATTAGTCTTTTATTGTGAAAGTTAAGGAAATGTTTATATATTAGAGGACATTTTCTTTGTTGGTTACCAGGGGTGGGAGGGAAGGGGAGGGAATGCTGTTAGATAGATAGAGATAAATATTGATTTGGGTGAAGAGAAGGGCAATGTACCAAATGTGAGTGACCAATATGGCAGCATTGAGGATGAGAAAGACAGAGAGAGTTACATGGGCAGTACAAACAACAAATATGAACCCCTTTGTAAATACAATACTGAGTTGTCAATGAAAGCAAACATGGGTATAGGGACGGATAGATGGGTGAACAAGCTAAACAATTATGTATGTCTAAATGGAGAGTGTATCCAAGATCATATACAGGGTTGGCAGACAATGGGCCTCTCGAAGAGTATAAAGGGATGGACACTGGGGGAGGTAACTATGGGGAGGAAGTGGGAGGGGAGCTGCTGCATTGTAAATTTTGGTCAATGACATGAGACAAAGTATATGTGAACTGCTGTATGAAAAGTGAATTTACTCTGTAAATCTTCACCCAAATCCTAATTAAAAAAAAAAAAAAAATCAACCTCTAGCACACCATAACAAATTCAAAAGAATAGAAATCTTTCAAGGTACGTGATCAGACCACAATGAAATTAAACTGGAAATCAGTAACAGAAAGATAAATGGAAATCACAAAATTTTGGAGATTAAGCAACATGCTTCTTAAGAGCAAATAGGTTAGAGAAGAAGTCTTAATAAAATGAATATATATGGATTTAATCAAATATATATATTTGATTAAACTAAAAGGAAAATATAATTTACCAAAATGTGTGAGAGATAGCAAAATCAGTGCGTAGGAAAATTTATCGTATTAAATATATACTTTAGAAAGTAAGAAAGATTTGATATCATTAAGCTAAGCTTCAACCTTAGAAAAGTGGAGGAAGAGCAACTTAAGCCTAAAAAGCAAGCAGAAATGAAGAGGAAAATGTCATAGATAACAATGGATATTACCTCCAACTCCTCACCTTAGGATGTGCACTGGGCTCTGCATGGTTTCACCTTTCCTGTGCCACAGCCAAACAAAGAGATCGAAAATATATAAATAGTAGTAAAGTTTAAATAGTAGTAAAGTTCAATCAAAAACAAAACAAACAAACAAACAAAAAAATCTGATTCTTTGAAAAGATCAATAAAGTCTATGATAAACATCTAACTGGGCTAAGCAAAAAAAAAAAAGAGAGATAAGACAGATATTATTAATACCAGAAATGAAAGCAGAATCATAACTACCGATCCCATGAACATTAAAAGGATAACAAAGAACTACTATAAACAACTCTTTGCCCACAGATTTGATAACAGAGATGAAATGGACAAATTTCTTGAAAGATACAATCTACTAAAACTCACACAAGGAAATATAGATAATCTGGATAGGCCTGTATT